TTTTCTATCTAAAAAAGTCTTACATTAAAAACCTTTACTTTGCATAATAAATTTTAAATTTAATATTTAAATGCATACCAATAATTATATTATTAACTATATTGAGAAAAAAATGGTAGTTTATAATGTTTCTTGCACTCTTATTAAATTTATTTTACCTATGCATGTTCAAGCGGCCAAATTACGAGCAACAACAGAAGGATAATTGGATAAAAATAAAAACATATGTAACGAAACAGTTAAAAAGCTTTTTTTTTTCTTAGATAAAGAAAAAGAACATTTTTTTATAAACGTTTATCAAGTAGACATTTTAAAATTTTAATTTCATAAAAAACATTTTTAGAAACCGGTATGTCGTACATTGGACCTATTTTTGCCGTCAATAAAACGTCAGAAAATGACGTCGTTGGGATGTGACTTAGGACCGTGAAAAATACGTCATTTTTACGTTAAACTTTAGGAATAAATGACGTAACATACGTCATAAAATGACGTAAGAATCACGTCATTATGACGACTGTCTGCTACCTGGGCACTTTCTTAAATAAACAATACACATGGGTAACAGTGAGTTCTATTATAATTCTCGTAAAGTTCTGAACGTGTTCTAACGTTTATTTCTAAAGAGTTCTGACGATAAGCATTATTTATTCATATTTTAAATAATTTTTATCGCCCAAGAAAGACGCATTTACGAGTATGTGGGTGAGACGCTGTAGAAAATCTCGGAGTTCTGGTTTATATAAAATATTTTTCGTACAGTTCTAAGCATACTAAAACAATTTCTAAAGAGTTCCGGGCATTGGCAATGTTGTATAATTCTTAAATAAATTAATAACGCACGAAAGTCAGGAATTTATCGAGAATAGGATCTTTCTCGAGCGATAAGAATTATTTAAAAAATGAATAAATAATGCTTATTGCCAGAATAAAATGGGACAACGTTAGAACACGTTCAGAACTACACGAGAATTATAGCAGAACTCACAGAACTGCCGAAATACGGCCAGCGTCTCACCTTATTTTCGATAAATTCCTGATTTTCGAGCAATATTAATTTATTTAAAAATTATACAACGTAGCTAGTGTTTGCTAAAGTTAATAAACATATATATACAACGTAGCTAGTGGCGGGAACTCTTTAGAAAATGCTTTAGTATGCTCAGAACTATACGAAAAATATTTTATATAAGCCAAAACTCCGAGATTTCGCACAGCGTCTCATCTTCTTCTGTCATGATTACTTTTCGGTTAATATTAATTTTTTTAAATATAACACAAAGATTCTAACGCTCAGAACTCTTTAGAAAATGTTTCAATACGCTGAAAACTACTCGAAAAATATTTTACATAAACCGGAACTCCGAGATTTCAACTGGCGTCTCAACCGGTATACTCGTTGCATTGTAATTTTTTTAGTACCTTATAATTAATTTTTTTGTTTTTATATGGCAAAACTCTTTATAGAACTGTTATAGAACTATAGATCTTGCAAAATCTGATGAGATAAATTCTTTATAAAACTGTTATAGAACTATAGATCTTGCAAAATCTGATGAGATACAGTGGTGGAACTTGTGTAGGACAAAATGAGACGCTGCGTGAACATAGCGTCTCAGTTTGTACTGACGCGTTTTTTGAAAGAAGCCAGAACTCTCAGTAATTTGTGAGTTTCTGCAAAATGAGACGATAGCTTCACACACACGTTAGAAAGAGAATGTATAAAAAATTATTAACGGAGATATTTTAATTTAAAAAATCATTAAAATATATATTTTTCAGGAATGTTTTATAGGGAAATGAAAAAAGTGAATAACGTTAAACTTTGCATGTTTTCTTCACTTTATTTTAAAAATTTATTTTTATTTTTTAAGTAACAAAAATGCTCTTTTTTCTGTTATATCCTGGTCACTATAAATGACAGACGATGTAAATAATTCTAGCTGTTTTAGGTATCTAAAACAAAAAGCTAAAATTTTCTTATTCTGCAGGAGAAGTGTGCAGGCTATCGTCTGAATTAGAACTAAATCAATATTTTCATTCTGAGCGGCTTTTTTATTTAAAATATTATAACTTTTTTCAAAATTTTATTAGTATTTTATTAAAAAAAAATGTTTATTCTAGTTCAGACGATAACCCATATCACTTATTCTGAATAAGAAAATTTTTGGTTTTTACGTTTCTGATACCTGTCGATTTAAGCTGCTTTAACTGTTATTCTATTCACTGGCGAAATAAATTTATTATTCTGATTTTTAATAATATAAGGGAAATAAGACCGTTTTATGACAGTTATACAATCAATCAATATTAAATAAGCCGTGTACGATCCGAGCTTGGATCTTAATAGCCTAATAATATTTTTTATGTATAATTACACGTATATTTTTTTCAATCTTAATAAATTGCGCGCTGACTAACTTGTCAGACTTACAACACAGCTCCTGTTGGAGTAGTAAATTTTTTACTATTATTTAAATCGATTTAATTAAAGGGGTGTGAGGGAATTTTATTAATCTAATAGGAGCTGTGTTGTAAGTCTGACAAGTTAATCGGCGCGTATTATAGTTGATTAAAGTTGGAAAAATATGTAAATATAGTATATAAAAAATATTATTAGGCTACTATAAAATCTAAGCTCAGATCGTAAATGGTTTATTTAATATTGATTAATAATATTTTTGATAAAAAAGCCGCCTAGAACCTAGAATGGAAATATTGGTTTAGTTCTAGTTCAGACTATAGCCACATATACTTCTTCTGAATAAGAAAATTTTAGCTTTTTGCGTTTCAGATACCTAGAACAGCTAAAATTATTTACACCGTCTGTCATTTATGGTGACCAGGATATAACAGAAAAGAAGAGCATTTTTGTTACTTAAAAAATAAAAATAAATTTTTAAAATAAGGTGAAAAGAACATGCAAAGTTTAACGTTATTCACTTTCTTCGTTTCCCTATAAAAAGTTCTTGAAAAATAAATATTTTAAAGATCTTTTAAATCAGAATACCTCCGTTAATAATTCTTTACATTCTCTTTCTGACAGAAGAGATTTTACCACTTCTCAATATAAATATAAATTTATCTTGTTATGGTTTTATTCGATTATTCCGGCGTTTTTATATTTGTGATTTAATTAGATTATTGTTTACTTTGTTTATATTATTAGATGATTGTTTAATGTTTTAGTCTAGACTAATGTTTAATGTTTTAGTATGTAAACTTAAACATTAATTATCATGTTTTTTTATATTTATCTTCTTTTATCGTAGTAATCCGTTCCGAAGAAGACTAAGTACAGTCGAAACGTTAAGCATGTGTATTGTTTATTTAAGAAATTGTTTTTATTTTAATTCAATACCTCTTTGTTGTTGCTCGTGGCCGCTTATAAACATTAATAGCTAATATAAATTTAATAAGAGTAAAAAAAACATTATGAACTACGTTTTTTCTCGATATAGTTAATATGTAATTATTGTTATGCATTTAAATATTAAATTTAAATACTATTATGCTAAAGTAAAGGTTTTTAATGTAAGACTTTTTTTGATATAAGAGCGCCAGAACGGGGATTTTTATACATTACATTTACGAATTTTAGTTTTTATGTTTATAAATATTTTTTTAATTAATTATAATTTCAATCTTTATATTTATAAATTTCAAATATATATATATATATATATATATATATATATATATATATATATACATATATTTATTTATTTATTTATTTATAAATATAAAAATTAAAATTTGTAAATATAAACGTAAATGTAACGTATAGCGCATCGTCGATTTGCCAACGCGAGACTCGGCATTCGGCGAGACGCGAGGAGCGATACCCGAAATACATGGCATCGTGGCATAGCCGGCGCGTGCTAAGCAGCTACGTCACAGCTCAAGCGAGAAGGAGACAGCAGATCGTATGTCTGCCTATGGCTGCATTCGGAGAGCGTGCTATTAGCGCTATTGTATCATTCTATCTTTATCGCTCATTAAATGTAAAACAAGGATAGAATAAGCAAATAGCGCTAATAGCGCGCTCCCCGAATGCAGCCCTTCTCTCCCCGCTCGAAGCTTGCCGAGTGCCGAGTCAGCCGACTGGCATATCCCCTCCATCTGAGTAGTTCGGACACGAACCATAGCACGGACATGAACCATGTTTGTACCGTTACCGAGCGTAACGACGTAGTTGACGTCCACTTTCTCAGGCGGCGCGTCAGTATACGTCCACTGGAACGGAATGATCCCGGTGGCCGCTCTCAGGTTTCTCTCTGGTTGAAAGATATAATAGGAAAATATCAACAATAAGTTGCGTGCGACTTTACCGACCGTAAATATATTTTATATGTTTTTTCTTTACCGACGTTCAACAAAATTTTATTAATTATTAAGAGATACGCTATATAGCCCAAAGGTGGGGCTGAAGGCGCAACCGGAGTTAATAACCTCAAAAAAATTATTAAGAGATAGTATAATTTATTCAAATTTTAGAAATCTTTACAATTTCAACTCCAAAAGTCTAAATTAAAAAAAAAATCGGCGGTTTCTTGCGCGTCCCGCGGGCAAGAGCCGAATACCTAACCTAACTTAAATTCGACCTAACCTAACTAATTAATCTGCTGTTTATCCGTCACTTACACGTCGCAGGGGAGCCCAGGGGAGTTCTATACTTGTGACAATTTTGATTTCAGGGTAATTTGAATTGATTTTCTCTTATATCGTAATTACGGTAAGATTATTTAATTTAAAGTTTTAAACATTAAATTGCGTGTAATAGCGATGCAATGGAGACCGTACCGAAAGACTTGCGTGGACTGAGAGCGTGTTTGGTATGCTCATTGGTTAAGGTTCGTATTTCATTCATCTTCTGTTACAATACTGTAGTAACAATTCAGCAATGATATATTTGCATAATGATAATAATCAATTTTAACTAGACTGTAATTGCAACACCCGTCGAACTTGTTTATCACCTTCGGAATGACTGCAATTGACTGCAATCGTAAATTTATTCCGCAGACCTTCGACCAATTCGAGTTTGACGGATGTGACAACTGTGACGATTTTCTACGTATGAAGAACAACAAGGATAATGTTTTTGACTGTACGAGTTCAAACTTTGATGGGTAATGTGCAGCAACAGATATACGATTATCTAGGAGTGATTTTTTTTACAAGACACAGCAGTTTTGTGAACAAATAATATTAGCTTATCAATTATTTGGATCTGTGAACGAAAATTATTAAGGATATGTTATATATTCCAAAAACTCGAGTAATGTTAAATCCAATTTTGTACTTGTAGCTTTAATTTTAATAGTTATAACAATTCAGAATATTAACAATGCTTTGTTTCAACAAGTAATTCTATTATAAAGAGATTTAAAAAATAATTTTGCCATATTATTTATTTTGTTTGCTTGTGTTTTATTTTCTAGAATGATTGCTGTAATGAGCCCAGAAGATAGCTGGGTATGCAAGTGGCAGAGAATAAGTAAGTTTATTACCGAGTAATTGAAATCCTACTTGAGTATATAATTAAAATCCTTTTATAAATTATTACCAATTATAGTTGCTTCTTACTTTTGCTATATCTTACTTGCTATATACTTTTTCTATTTTATCCCAAGAATTTTTTTATATTTTTGGTTCAAAGTTGTAGTAAATCAGTAAAAAAAAGAAAAAAAAAAATAAAAGTCACAAAGATAAATATGTGCAAAGTAATTTGTAATGTTTAGAAATAGCTTATAATACATATTTAGTTATTTTAATAAATATATTTATTTCTGAGATTTTCATCTTTAAACGTATAATACATTTATACATATATATTATTCTGATAAATGCCAGTATGTATTAATCTAGGAACATACTTATGTGCGTATATACCGTAAAGATCTGTTTAAGCAAAATGCTATGCAAACCCTTTCAGAATTTCAATTTCCTCTCAGTCTAATTACGTCGATGATAACCACTGTTAATTTCGAGATTCTACTTTTTTCAGATCGTTTTTGTAAGGGTGTTTACGCCATATCAGTATCAGGACGATTACCAGCTGGTGTCATCAGAGAAATGAAGAGCAGAGGAATAATATATAGGCCGCGCGATACCAGTCAACGTTAATTATTCGAGATTTCTATGTATGATGTAAATATTGAATTTTCCTTGATACTTTATAATTAGATCAATCGAGATACGATCATTGTTCATTTTGTTAAGTTAAATATTATACAAATATTCTTGCATGGCCAATTTAATTACAACATCGTATGTCATCCAGAATTTCTGAAAAATATAAGTTTAATAAACGATTTATATTTAACGATTTACATTGAATCTGCAGTTTGCTCTGTTTATATATGCATGCGTGATTTCACTAGATTAAATGCAAATTGTATCAGAACTCCACTTTCAAAGACCTTTTAGCGTGACTTTTAATGTGATCTTTTAGTAACTCTTTCAATATGAATTTCTATGCATTACATTAATAAGATCTGAATAGTATATTTTTAGCTTGAATTTGAAAACCTTGCAATATGCAGGTTAGCATTTAAATGTGACTCCCTGGACATATAGTTGATTGACAAATTAAAGAATATCGCATCACCGGCAATTGACTGTTTACACAATTGAGCCATAAATTTGCGCACGTTACATGATAATTATTATCGTTATACACAACTCGGCCACTCGTGATAACTGTTAAACACAAGGAGCAAGACACACATTCTCCCTGATGTAAGGGCCAAGCTGGTAGTTCAGTGACAATCTGAAATATATTAATACAAATGTATTCCAGAAGCATGAGAATGAATACGCGTATTAAAGAAGAAAATATATACAAGATATATATAAAAACATTAATAGAATTAATTAATATGTGCAAAAATATTAATAACACTCATGTAGGCAATACTTACTGGTATATTTGCGTAAAAAGGTTCCATTTCTGCCCAGATCCGATCAATGTCCATTAAAAGGTCATCAAATCCAATAATGTTTATATCCAGCTCTTTATATGAGAAATTAACGCGTCTACAAACAGCTGCAACTTCAGCTAATTCTAATGACAAAATATATTTTATGTTTTTTTTTTATAGTCCTATTACACATCTTGAATAAATGAATGAAAATATATACAGTACGCGTTTTATTTTAAATAAAATGTATTACTAAAAAAAAAAACACCTACGGCAAAGAAAGTTATATCCCTGGGCTGAATTTAAAACTTCCTGCAGAACTAATTCTGACGTTATATTGGTAAATATATTGGCTGCAACTTGTAGTAGTAAAACACAACTTTCCATATATTGCTTCCATTCCCAATACACGGTCTGCAACAGAGAAGCGCTTTGATAATGTACATGTCAGGCAAGCATTCGCTTCGTATCTCAACTTTCTGACACAATTCAATTACACGTGTACCTGCTGCGGAGCTTCTACAACTTGATCTTCCTCTATATTAGAAGGCAAAAATGATTTAAGATCTAAGCTAGGCACAGATCCAGAACGTGGCAGTGCTTCGGATGGACCGCTAATCAACTCTATACTATTTATCGAAATAGCATCTTCTTTCTGAACATTCTTCCCTAAGAATAATATATACTACTAGATTCAAGCGAAATGGGGACACAAGCGAAAATAAAACTGTAGCACATACCACATAGTGAGTAGCACTAACCTGTCTCTACCAATTGTGCTTCAATTCCATCATCAAGTTTTAGATTATTGAACGACTCAGACACCTCAGATACAAAGTTGAGATCTGCTAAGTTATTGTTATCGGCATTAGCGTGCGTTTTAAACTCAAAATCTGCAAATATGTTACTAAAGCTTTCAATATCCAAAGCGTCCGATATCGATGGATTAGCAGGTGGTTGCTCCGCCGACATAAATTCTCCGAATTCGTCAGCCGACTGATTGTTAAAAGTTAAATCTACGCTCGCATCACTTGTAACGGGTGCTTCTTGAACTAGCTCGCGCAACGCACTGTATTTATCCTCGACTTGTGGCAAACTCATTAAATCTTGTTGAACAGAATCAGATATTTCTACCGTAACGGCCTACAGATAAATTTAAACACATCAGCAAAAATTATACTGACATTAAACTTACAGACATAAAAGGCATACTAGCTACATAATTGACAAACTCGTAATTGTCGTTTACCTTTGGTGCTAACTCCACTTTAGGCAATACCTCTTTATCGCTGATGCTGACAGGCTTCGCCACACCCGCCAGACTGTTAAAACTGTCGCTATAATCTTTAGGCGTGTCGTTATTTCTAATCACAGTGTCCTTGAGTATTACTGTCTTGGACTGATTCTTTATTCCGCATTTAGGAAACAGGTCGGACGTGGATTCCATCATTATGGACTGATCTTTACTCTGATATGGCAAACTCGCAGGTGCGGGCGTGCGAATTTGCGTATTAATATGCACGGTTTTCGTTCCGACAGTGGTCCTCTTGACTTTGTCGACTGTCTTTTTCACTCCTAGATTGTGATTAGCGAGTCTGCTGCCAATCGCGGAACCCTGCTTGCTGTCCCAGATTGGCATGGCGGAGACGCTGGGGATCGGGGCGCTCTGAAACTCCGTAAACTCATCACAGGACTCGTCGAAGGACGACGCAGACGGAACGTCGGCTTGAACACGCGGATTTTGTCTCGCGTCCTTGAACAGATTATTGACGTTAATCCCAGCTGCGCCAGGCACCTGAATCTTTCCGTCGAAACAGGACGACTTTCCAGGCGTGCCGCCAGAGAAGGATATAGTTGCATCAGGCACTGTGTTTACTTGAGCTCTAACTTTAGCTTTTCCCTTAACGTCGGGAATGTACTTTCCTTCCACGCCCATGTTACTACCGGGTTCCTCGTAGTGCTGGAGTTTCGGGGGGTTCGTCTGCGCGGCAGCAGGCTGCAGATTCATCAGGCAATCTATGTTCAGGTAGGGCGTCGGCGGAAAGGGGAGCAAATGCAGTATATCGAGACTGTTGAAGCTGTAGGACGTCTGAGCGGCCGCCACGAGGGCCAGCACGATGTACAGCTCCTGCTCGGTCAGCTGTCCGGCGTACTTCTGGTTGGCCAGGCTCCATATGTGGCCGAGCACCTCCATAGGCAGCTGGCTGGTGAGCAACAGCGGGAACACCTTGTTGGTGTCGACGAGCAGCTCGGCCTGGACGCCGTTCGACCTGACCCGATCCTCCCGCACCGCCTCCCACACCATCTTGTAGACCGGCGGCAGGGTGGTCGAGTTGGTCCACAGCCAGCTCGGCAGCTGGTTCAGCCTCTTGTTCGCGTGGCTCTTGTTCATGTTTTATTTCCCCCCTCGCGTGGACCGGCGAAACTCACCCGGCTACGAACGTCGCTTGCGAATTACGTGAACTCGTCGAGCAGCATGAGCCCATCGTTCAGGCTGCTAGCTCGATACATACATCGACATTGGCAAAACACGGGATGAGGTGGGTCGAGCGCGTCTCCCTTAACCACCCCTTAACGTCGATCGCGCGAACGCTCGAGACTCGCGGTGGTGCAAACGTTACCCTTCTTCCACATGGTGGTGTTCAGCGTGAGACGAACGCGCGACGGAGCACATACGCAATCGTCCTTACGTCAACTGACGAGAGCGACCTGAGCGACATCGATCCCGTCACCGCCGGCCACCGAACCAGAGTCCCCTGACACCTGACACCTGACCAGTTCTGACACTCCAAAGTCCAAGTACTCCAATTGACTTCGTTAGGTCTGTTCCTCTTTCTGCACTAGGTTGTTTCTCGACTTTTCTCTTTCCAGAGAAAAATCTCTGTCTCTTTAATTTGAACATAGATCGTTCCAGATGCAAAAAATGGAGAAAATTTGAAGAGAAAAAAAGGAAAAGTA